TCGTTCAAGCTCACGGTAGAGTCGATCTCGTAAATTCCTGCTGGTAACATATTTTCCCTGAAATGAAATGAAAAAACCCAAAGGCTTCAATGCCACCAAAATGCTAGGAAGTTCACATTAACACAGTTATACATATGCTAATATCAGCTAAAGCCTCTTTATTGATGGCTTACATATAGAAGAAATAGCAAAACACATGGTAAACAAGATCTTTGCAAGGAGATCTCAGTGCCAGTCAATTGATGAGTCAACCACTCAGTCAAAACATCACTTGAGCTACTTTGCAAGGATAGATTCAAATAATCATAAGCAAAGGTGAAAACTAAGGTTGTTGGGGGGATGCATACTGTTGCCACTTGCCTGACCAACGAAGTTGGGTGAAGGTTCACAAAGAAAGAAAAAGAAAAAAGACTATGAAGTACTTATTGAAAGAATGCGATTCTGACAGTTCTGGGTCACTGTTTAATAGACATACCTCTCGGCCAACAAAAGGTGATGTATTTATGGAAAAGGCCATTTTCACAGTTGGTTCTTCCACTCTGATAGATGGTAATGGTTTCCCGAATGCTTTATCAGCGATTGTCTCCCCAATCTGAACAATGAAATTAAATCAGTCATGATAAATATAACACAACTCTATTGCATGAATCAAATTTAGATCATATGATAAATCAGGTGACCTCGAAATAAGAATAACAGTTGATTCATGGAACACTGATAGTCCCTCATTCCTATTTTGTTGGTACAATATTCCATTTAAATATTTTCCAGTTTATTTGTACAGTTTCTAAAAGTAACATTCAAAATCATGCGCTTCCAACATTACACTTGTTTGAAGAGACTAACATTCATTAATCATGGTATAAGCAGTTAAGAATGTCCCCTTCTGAAATTTAATTTACGAAGATAGAGCAAAATGAAGGAATGAAGAGAGCAAAGGCATACTTGAATGTCCTCAATTCCACAGACAGCACAAATGTCACCAGCTTCCACTTTTGTGGCTGGAACCCTACTGAACTTCTCATAAACAAAAAGCTCACTAACTTTTCCAAATCTACACGAATCTTCTGATGTGCATACCTACAAAAAACTCAACACAAAATTAAGAAAAAGGTTTGCTTGCTTCTTTCTTTGTTCAACTTCAACAATTGCTGTGAAACTGGTGTCTCTAACTTCAAATCATCATAGTTAAAAGAAGAAACACGTCTATGCTTATACTTGATATGTGAAAACTACAACTAAGTGTTGCAGGCAGTCATCAAATAAATGATTATGATTGATCTCTCAGTCATCTACAGCAATAAGGATATCTTATAAATGAATCTATTTTCCTGTATTTTTGTATAGCTCTTGAATCAATTGTATTGGAATAACTTCTTCAAGTAATTATCAGGGCGCCGCTTTGCAGTACAACAGTACAGCACCTACAATGTCTAAAAGCTGAAGTTCAGCAACAAATGACATATGGAGATCATACCACGGTTATCTGTTTGCAACACTATAGATTTATTTTTTTTCAGATTATTTTAGCCTTTATCCATTCAAATGCAACTTAGATTGATCATTAATCATCAGAACAAAATCTTTACATCAGCAAACCACATCATGCAACAGAAATTGATTGAGAAAGTATGAAAGCATTACCAATTACAGTTCAAAACTGCCAATATCAAGACAGGACTATCCAACATGTATGCTAATGGAAAATAGAATGTTGAAGCCACAAGAAAAGAAAGGGCACTCACCCTCACATCCATTCCTTTCTGCAGAACCCCAGCATGCAACCGTCCAATAGCTATTCGTCCTTTATGTTCATCATACTCGATATTTGTGGCCTACAATATGTCAATTTCAACAATAAACACACATCCAAGTGATAGTAAGTTCATACAGGAAATGCAAACAAATCCAATCAAAGTCAAAACAAAAGGATGAGCTATGTATCAATTTAATTTACAGAGTCAACTACCTAGATGATGATAATATACATGAATTAACTAAAGCTCATCTTTAAAATTGCCACTCATGGGATCTGCTTCATCTTCTTGACAAGGATTTTCAGCTTTCAATTTAATTCAAGCAATGAGACAAATTTCTTCTCAAATTTTATTGTCATTAGTTAAAGACTTGTATTAGCAATGCATACGATAATAACTTGACAAATAATCCTTGCATTCAACCTGCAACATCATATTTAGTTAAGAAAAGGCCAAGACTGAGGACATAAAGAATGAGAACTTTGGTCTAGAAAGCTCTGGAAACTTTACTGCAGAATTATCAAAGGATCCTAAGCATTACCCAAAGATACTTGTTTATAAGAAAAACTTAGCTAGTATATCTGTCATAATATTTTTTTTATGTCCTGCCACCCTGGAATTTGAGGGACAGAAACTCGATGAAATTCACTCATATGAAACAACAGAAAGCAAGTGATTGCTGATGCTAAAGCCACTCCCCATCAATCAGTTATCCCTTTGACCCTGGTTAAAATATTGCACCGCACGGTGAGCCTTCTCATCATAGGTTACAGCACAAAAGAGCCTATTTTAGTGATGGTATTTGCATGTAAAATCTTATTGGTTAGTGGTAAATGATCGACCCATATTGCTGGCATGTAGTTCTTCTAATGGTTTATGCCATAAAGTCCCATCCAATTCCGAGAGATTCCAAATCAAAAGCCAAACAATATAAAAGCAAAGCATGAGAACAAATTTGAAAAAAATCAATTCAAGGAATGGCCACTAACAAGCATTTGCAGAGCACCGTCTTTCTCAATACGTGGTCCAGGTATGCATCTCATTATAGCCTCAAAAAGTGGGCCGAGATCTTCAGCCAAATTATCAGGAGATAATCCTGCCTTCCCTTTTATACCACTCGCATATATTGATTGGAAATCACACTGCAACAGAAATTAAAGATGCGATCAGACCATGCCTTAAACTGCTATCTTTTGATGATATTAAAGCATGCACTAGGCTAAAGAAAACCTTGAAACAACATAGTAAAAATCTCAAACAGACTATGTCTAGAAGTACTTCTACTAATTATCATTCACCAAATTCTCGTTGAGGCTCGGTAAGTTTTCTATTACTGTCTTTCTCCACAATGACTATAAAAAATCACTGCAGAACATCTCAGTGTGAACCTTACACTCGCAAATCCTTATGATATAACAATCATCAAAATACCTGTTCATCCGTCGCATTGAGTTCAATAAACAATTCAAAAGTCGAATTGATAACAAAATCCGGACGTGCAGACGGTCTATCAATCTTATTAACAACAACAACAACAGCATGACCAAACTCCAAAGCCTTCTTCAAAACAAACCTCGTCTGCGGCATCGGCCCCTCAACAGAATCCACCTACAAATATCAAGACCTCCATTAGTCATTACATAAATGCACTAACATTACACATTAGCATAAAAATAACAATATCAACATAAACAATTGAGAAAATGTACCACGAGAAGAACTCCTTCGACCATATTAAGAATCCTTTCAACTTCACCACCAAAATCAGAGTGACCTGGAGTATCAATTATATTGATTTTTGTATCCTTATAAGTAATTGAAGTATTTTTGCTCAAAATTGTAATTCCTCTTTCGCGTTCTATATCATTGGAGTCCATGATTCTCTCTTGTACAAATTGATTATCGCGAAACACCTACGCAGAAAAAAAATTAAACAATTATTAAAAACAAAATTTATCTATTAAGACAACGGTAAGTTAAGCAATAATAATTAATTAATCAAAATAAATAAATTACCTTAGATTGCTTTAACATGGCATCAACTAAGGTAGTTTTACCATGATCAACATGAGCGACTATTGCTATATTCCGTATGTCTCCTCTTCTCATCAACTGGCTCTTTTTCTCTACAAATTTGAATATATCAAATAAAAATAAATAAATACAGGAAAATAAAATAAAAATGAAATTCATTTAAACTTACCGGTGGTGGAGGTTTCGGTGGAAACAGAGCATTTTATCGGAGAGTGAAATGAAAAACGAGAACGGCGGCAGCGGAGTGATAAGGTTGATGTCGTTTTGGAGGTGTTTGGGAAGGAAGGTAAGGTGAAGGAACTACCGAAGAGTTGTTTGGTAAGCAGAGGTGTTTTAAGGTTTATAAGAGAGAAGGAGGAGCTGCTGCTGCGGATGTTAATTGCCATATCCATTTCTCTCTCGCAGTGAGTGTGGAAGAGAAATGAATATGGCTAAGTGTGCGTGTGTGTGTGTGTGTGAGAGAGAGAGAGAGAGGTTATAACTTATACGGCTGCCGTTAGTTTTGAAACAAACTAACGATAAATTTGAGAGGTCGTGATAGCATGGAGCTAAGAAGAAAGAAAGGATGCCTTCCTTCGGCCACGTCGACGATGGTTCCGTAAAGTGAAGCCCAACTTGGAAAATTAAGATGCTTAATTTGAGCCTTAGGGCTGGATTTTTTTTGTAGTAAAGTGAAGAGGTGGGGTTAGGGCTAGGAAGAGGAGTTTAGCTTAGAAAATCAAATTTGTGATTATTTATGGATGTAATTATTTAATTTATTTTTTATGCAATTGAATTTTTATTATTTATTTAAATAATAAGTGATTCACATCTTTATTATTAAATTATATTTGAAAACTTATCATAAATATATGAGTATCAACATAGATGATTTGTCTAAGACCTCATTAAAAGTAATTTAGTTTTATTATAAATCGAAAATATTTTTTTCTCATTCCCAATAATAATAGTAATAATAATTCATTTGGAAGAGTTTCTATATTAAAAAAAATATATGGTTTGCCTAATTTAAAGAATGGAAAAAGTGAGATATGAGAACGTCAATAATATTAAAAAATAAGAAAATATTCAATGTATCAAATAATTCTCCATGCAAAGATAATTTTTATTTTTCCTTTTGTTTTATTTTATTTTTGCTTTTCGAGAAAGAAAATTTAATTTCAAATGGGCCTTGAGTTGCATAGGATCATAAAGGCTGTACAGAGAAACTAGAACCTCCGTACCCAAAATTTCAAACATCAGTTAATCCCATGAATGCCCTTCTCCCCGCCATTTCCCTTCCCTGTTTCTCAAAATCCCAACAACCTTTCCCGCCATTGAAACCAAAACCACCCAGCACCGCCTTCCCCTCCTCCTTTAAACCCCTAAAACACAGCAACAGCAACAAAACACAAACCCCGGAACTAAAAACAACTCAGAACTGCACTAATATCTCTTTGGCATCTCCTTCTGAAGAGACCCTTCTATCTAATGACTGGCCTCAGCTCCTAAAAATCTCAATTGGGTCTAAAGATTTCTTGCTAGGCAAGGCAATCCATGCCTACTTAGTAAAAATAGCCTCCCAAAATGACCCATTTGAAGGCAATAATCTTATTAATCTGTATGCGAAATTTAACAGATTGGATCTGGCATGGAAGGTGTTTGATGAAATGCTTATTAGAAACACTATTACTTGGACTTCACTAATAAAAGGTTGTCTAGAGAATGAAGATTTTGTGTCTGGGTTTAGTGTTGTTTGTGATATGTGTGAATTTGGAGAGAAGTTCAATGAGCATACTTGCGTGGTGATTTTACAGGCCTGTAGCGAGATAGGGGATGTGGTATTAGGGAAACAAATTCATGGTTTTGTAATAAAAAGTGGCTTTGAGGAGAATGTTTTTGTTAGCACTTCATTGATTTCTATGTACTCGAGAAGCAGGAACTTTGATGAGGCAGAGAAAGTGTTTAATGGTGTGGGTTGTAAAGATCTTCGGTGTTTAAATTGTATGATTTTGGAATATGGAAAGGCTGGATATGAGAAGAGGGCTATTGGGGTTTTTATATATCTGATAAGTATTGGTTTGGATCCTAATGATTATACTTTCACTAACATAATTAGTACTTGCAATGTAGAGGAGGGTAAGCAACTACATGGGCTTGCCGTAAAGTATGGTGTTTTGCTTCAAACTTCGGTGGCAAATGCAGTTATTACTATGTATGGGAAAATTGGAATGGTCGAGGAGGCAGCAAGAATGTTTTCTGTGATGAATAAGAAGAATTTGATTTCTTGGACTGCCTTAATATCAGGCTACACAAGGAATGGATATGGTGAAAAGGCTGTTGATGGTTTTCTGGAATTGCGTGGTTGTGGTGTTGAATGTGATTCTGGTTTGTTAGCTACAATTCTTGATGGCTGCTCAGAATGCAAAAACTTGGAATTGGGAACTCAAATTCATGGATTAGTGATCAAGCTTGGTTATCCCTGTGATCTTTATATTGGGACTGCTTTAATAGATTTATATGCCAAATGCAAGAACTTGCAGGCTGCAAGAACAGTTTTTAATGGGCTTTCCCCAAGGAGTACTGCTTCTTTCAATGCCATTCTAGTGGGATTTATTGAGAATGATAGCAACGAAGAAGATCCCATGGTTTTTCTTAGTCAGTTGAGACTGGCTGGTATTAAACCAGATTCAGTGAGTTTTTCACGGCTTCTATGTTTATCTGCCAATCGAGCTTCTTTAGTAAAAGGGAGAGGTCTCCATGCATATTCTATTAAAACAGGATTTGCAGGTGATATTTCAGTATCCAATGCTTTAATTACCATGTATGCCAAATGTGGAGTTGTTGAAGATGCTTATCAAGCATTTAATTCAATGAGCGCTAACGATTGCATATCTTGGAATGCCATAATCTCGGCTTACTCTCTTCATGGTCAAGGTGAAAAGGCCTTATTGCTATATCAAGAGATGGAGGAGAAAGGGTTTACTCCTGATGAGATCACGATATTGGTTATCCTTCAAGCTTGCACTTATTCGGGTTTGTCTGAAGATGGATTACACCTATTCAACACAATGGAATCAAAATATGGGATTCAGCCATTGCTTGAGCACTATGCCTGTATGGTTGATCTTTTGGGCCGGGCTGGCTATTTATCACAAGCCATGGATATTATTAACAGAAGTCCCTTTTCAGAGTCAACTTTGCTCTGGAGAGCTTTGGTCAATGTGTGTAAGTTGCACGGGGATCTGAATCTTGGCAAGTTAGCTTCAAAACATTTACTTGATTTGTCACCTGATGAGGCAGGTTCTTATGTACTTGTTTCAAATATGTATGCTGGTGAAGGAATGATAGATGAGGCATCGAAGGTTAGAACAACTATGAAAGACTTGAAGTTGAGTAAAGAAGCAGGCAGTAGCTGGGTTGAGATTGATAACATGGTCCATCATTTCGTGGCAAGTGGCACAGACCATCCAGAAAGTATAGAAATTTATGCAAGATTGGATCTATTAAGGAATGAAATGAGAGGGACATATGATAACAAAGCTGATCTCAATCTAATTTAAGAATTCGTGTGACTACAAAAAAACAGAATCATCTCACTTGTAGAGTTCTCTTTATTCATTGGGGTCGGTATCAGTTTGGCATCTGCCCTTAAATTACTACATTGCATACATGAAGCAGTTACAGAATGCTGCACCTATAAATCAAGAGTTCAAATTGTGGAGAAAGACGAGAACATGCTAGATGTTATCACCGATGGACCTCCCCCGACTATAACCATTGTCATTCTTGCCTCGACTGGATTAAGAGATGCTGGATTTATTCTGACTCACATTTTGCTGCAATTTTTTTTTTCTTGGTAGAAAAAAACTTGATCCAGCGGTTCCAGTTTTTTTTACTGTAATTACACTGACATTTTAATTCAGGTGTAAGGAAAGCAAATCTACTGGAATTTTCAGATGAATCACCTACAATTCTACTGGTTACAAATTATAGTTCAATTAGTATGTGCTTAAAATACAGGAAGTTCTTCTTTGAACTAGTTATATTCGTGCATCAGAACATTGTTACTAGTTAGGGTGCTTGTGTCGCAATTGATTTGGATCATGATTTCATCAGGCATGACATAACGGTACATGGCAGTTTAATTATTAGTTCATCTGGTATGTGGTTTACGATCGTTGGATTACCTTTAAAAAGCTCTAGGATGTCAATAAGGGTTTTGGCATGAATGGCTCACCTTGTGAGAATTGCCTTCATGTATTGAAATTGTTGCACACTGAAAATCAGCCATTACATGTTACTATACAAGATAAGAGTAAAGCTGTCAATTATATACCTATATGCAATATATTTCTTCTCTCTCTCTCTCTCTCTCTCTCTATATATATATATATATATATATATATATATATAGACTAAATAAGAAAACACATATTAAGCCGTCAATTCTCCTAACATCCCTCTCAAATTGATTGTGTTCTATTTAGAACTATCAATTTCATCAATCATAAACTGATAGCAAAAATATGTTACTCCATGCTCTTAGAAGACACGATTACTCCCAATATTAATAATCAGATGCAAAAGGTTTGATATTGTTTTGAACTTTGTGTTCATCTAATTAACTACTTAATTCTAGAAAATTTAGTGATCTAAACTTGTAACTGATATCGATATCTGATAATCAATCAATATCAATGTCATGATGTCTGATTGGTTTTGTCAAAAAAGTCAATTTCAAGGGTTCATTGACTAGTACACCTTTGGTGCTAGTAAGGTTGGGATCATGGTTGTCCATCTTTGGTTTTTCAGTTGCTTCTTAGCCTGCAAGTTAGATTACTTAATTGGAAGGTGTAGAAATAGTTCTTTTTTCACTATGATAAGCACGACTCCTTAGCGCCTTCACCCATTCATTTCCTTTTCAGGGAGAAAAGAAGAGATCAACTTAAGTAATTATAATAACTATTTCGGTGGTAAAGGCCTTTTCAGGTGAGATTAAGAAGACGTAAGAAAGATAGTTTGCAACTTTCAATTCGTAACATCGTCAAGTCTCAAACTCTTGTTTGTGAGTCATTCCCTCTAGCTTATCTAGCTTAACGATCCCACTCTACAAAAATTCATTCTTTTCCCTTGCTTTCTTCTAATGGAAGTACAAGTCCCTATCCTTTCAAACTGGACCAATATAGAATGTCTTCCTCACGGGAGCTCGATATGTTAATGAGCAGGTCCCTTTCATTACAATAGTTGTGGCACCAAACTCATAAATCAAACGATTATTAATTTGAGAGAGCTTGGTGAAAACATTAGTGGTTTGACATTCAATGAAAATATGAAGCTAAGGCTTCATGAATAGAATGAAAATCCATTTCAATATACTTGGTGTACTTATAAAAAAACATGAATCTAAATAGCACTAATATTGTTAGCATAAAAAAGAGCATGAGTAAGCTATGAGACATGAAATTCACTTAATAGCATGTGAAGCTATACAACTTCAAAACAAGCAAAACAACATATCCAAATATTTAAACTTGGTGGATGACTTTGAAAAATAAGCTTGTTTTTTACTCTTCTAATAAATTATAGCATTACCAAGGTACACCTTTGGTGCTAGTAAGGTTGGGATTATGGTCATCCATCTTTGGTTTTTCAATTGCTTTTTGGCCTGCAAGTTGGATTACTTAATTGAAAGGTGTAGAAATAGTTCTTTTTTCGCTATGATAAGCATGACTCCTTAGTGCCTTCACCCATTCATTTCCTTTTCAGGGAGAAAAGAAGAGATCAACTTAAGTAATTATAATAACTATTTCGGTGGTAAAGGCCTTTTCAGGTGAGATTAAGAAGACGTAAGAAAGATAGTTTGCAACTTTCAATTCGTAACATCGTCAAGTCTCAAACTCTTGTTTGTGAGTCATTCCCTCTAGCTTATCTAGCTTAACGATCCCACTCTACAAAAATTCATTCTTTTCCCTTGCTTTCTTCTAATGGAAGTACAAGTCCCTATCCTTTCAAACTGGACCAATATAGAATGTCTTCCTCACGGGAGCTCGATATGTTAATGAGCAGGTCCCTTTCATTACAATAGTTGTGGCACCAAACTCATAAATCAAACGATTATTAATTTGAGAGAGCTTGGTGAAAACATTAGTGGTTTGACATTCAATGAAAATATGAAGCTAAGGCTTCATGAATGAGAATCCATTACAATATACTTGGTGTAATTATAAAAAAACATGAATCTAAATAGCAATGATATTGTTAGCATAAAAATATATATGAGTAAGCTATCAGATATAAAATTCACCTAATAGGCTGTGAAGTTATACAACTTCAAAACAAGCAAACAACATATCTAAATATTTAAACTTGGTCGATGACTCTGGAAAATGAGCTTGTTTTTAACTTTTCTAATAAATTACAGCATTACCAAAAAACATATGTTAACCTATAACATCAAAGGGTTAGAGAAAAGATCATCATTCTTCTTATACAATTTTAAATCTACCTTTATCGGAGTAAGATTTGAATTACCGTCTGAAAAGCTAGTTATAGAAAGAAATTCTACAATAGTAGATTAGGCTTCTATCAAAAATCTAGAAGGAATAGAAGATTCAATTATGAATGTATGAACAACATCTAAAATATGATGATTTTCACGCTTAACGACACTATTCTATTGAGGGGTATAAGGGTATGAACTCTAAGAGAGCATATCTTTCTATTGGAGAAAAGATTGAAAAGCATAAGGTTAAGAAAGATAGTTTGCAACTTTCAATTCGCAACATCGTCAAGGCACCAAGTCTCAAACTCTTGTTTGTGAGTCATTCCCTCCAGCTTATCTAGTTTAATGATCCCACTCTTCAAAAATTCATTCTTTTCCCTTGCTTTCTTCTAATGGAAGTACAAGTCCTTGTCATTTCAAACTGGACCAAGATAGAATGTCTTCCTCACGAGAGCTTGATATGTTAATGAGCAGGGTCCCCTTCATTACAATAGTTGTGGCACCAAACTTGTAAATCAAACGATTATTAATTTGAGAGAGCTTGGTGAAAACATTAGTAGTTTGACATTCAATGAAAATATGAAGCTAAGGCTTCATGAATGAGAATCCATTACAATATACTTGGTGTAATTATAAAAAAACATGAATCTAAATAGCAATGATATTGTTAGCATAAAAATATATATGAGTAAGCTATCAGATATAAAATTCACCTAATAGGCTGTGAAGTTATACAACTTCAAAACAAGCAAACAACATATCTAAATATTTAAACTTGGTCGATGACTCTGGAAAATGAGCTTGTTTTTAACTTTTCTAATAAATTACAGCATTACCAAAAAACATATGTTAACCTATAACATCAAAGGGTTAGAGAAAAGATCATCATTCTTCTTATACAATTTTAAATCTACCTTTATCGGAGTAAGATTTGAATTACCGTCTGAAAAGCTAGTTATAGAAAGAAATTCTACAATAGTAGATTAGGCTTCTATCAAAAATCTAGAAGGAATAGAAGATTCAATTATGAATGTATGAACAACATCTAAAATATGATGCTTTTTACGTTCAATGACACTATTCTATTGAGAGGTATAAGGATATGAATTGAGCATACCTTTTTATTGGAGACAAGATTGAAAAGCATAAGGCATGTATTCTCCCCACAATCATGGTGTAAGACCTTAATACACATATAAATTTGAGTTTCCACATAGACAATAAAGGTTCGGAAGGTTAATAACACATAAGCTTTAAAACAAATGAAATAGATAAAAGTAAAACAACTATAATTATCAATAAATATCATAAAAAATATATATTAAACATAAGAAAGAATATGGCTCATAACCCAAATATCAAAATGAATAGTTTCAAAACATGTAAAAGCACAACTACCCTGTAAAGAAAAGGATAATGATTTGCTTTTCTATTTACAAGAAGCACAATCAAATGACAATAAAGAAAACTCATTTGAATTATTCAAATAGCCATATTTCATTAAATATGTCAGAATTACAGAGTTGGTATGACTTAGTTTCTTATGCAAAGATTGGCTATCATTATTACCAATACTAAAACAACCAATAGAAGTTAAATGAGGAAAGGAAAATGACTTATGAGAAAAAAGATGTCCTACTTGAGGCCCTCTCGCTATCTCTTGTCTAAATATTTAAGCTTGTACATAACAACTAGAACGATAAAAATCAGAAGAATAATTTTTCTTTACTAATTGTTCAACTGAAAAGAGATTAATAGATAAATCAGGAGAGATAAATATATTAGTAAAAAGAAAACCTAGATTACCAATCATTATAATAAAAAGGATATTGTTATCGACGATTTAAATATGTTATTTACCATCATACTTACAAACATCATATAAAGTAATTGAACTACCATTTATATGATTGAAAATCATAGAGTCAATTAAACAGTGAGAAGTAAGAAGATGTTTCTTACCTTAGAAACCACTAGCAAAAAAAACAAAATAATCATTTATTGAACCTGCTTGGGAGTAATATTGAAAGAAGAACCCGAAATAGCAAGTCATGTGCAAAGTTTAGGCATAAAAATGAACTGAACAATAGCATGGAGAGCATAAATAGATTGATTTCAAGGGCATACATGACAATCCTTAATAATATGATTTTTCTTCTTACAATAATTGCAGGGTTTTTGTTGAAATATTTTGCAATGTGCTCACTTTTATTGTAACTATAACACTGTGGTATAGATCTAGACCATCCTTTATCTTGAGTAACATAAGCCATGTTAATTATTTCAGAAACACCAACACATTGAGCAAGACCCAAGATAAGAGGTAATATGTTTTTCTTCACACAAAAGTTCAACCAAACAAACCTTAAAAGATAGGACTTATTGGAGATTGATTAACACAGCTCGTGCACTTTCAAACTTGGATCAAAGCTTCATAAAAAATTTATCTTGTTGGCTCTCAAGGTGAACCTTTATAGCATGTTTAGGACTTAAAAATGCAACAACCTAGAATAATTATCCCATAATTTAAAAAATTCAGAATAAAATTTTTCAATAAAAAGATTTTACAATGATAGTTTTCAATATCTAATTCCAATTAAAAATTTTAAATAAAATTATCTTGATAATAAACTTATCAAAAATAATTTCACATCATGTTAGCAGTAGTTAATCCACCAAGATTGTTGATCATACAAGGTTCAGCGGGGTTGCGAAGCCAGGAAGCAACTTTGGCATCCCTTCCTTCCCATGAACTGAACCAAGTTTGGTGGGATCATTGGGAGCCATAAGACCCATTCAAATGACTTCATAACTCCACCTTGGGATTCGTAGCTAGCATAATTATTTCCAGTAAGGTGTGCTACACAATTTTCTTCAGATATAATAACCACACAAAAAATCAACACAATCAAGAAACCAAAAAATAATTGAGAACTTCACAACTGGAAACTGGACCTCCAAGCTAGAAAACCACTTTTTACTGCTACTCACGGAAAAGTATCACAAAAAACAAGAAACCAAAAAATCCAGCCAAGTCAAGGGGAGAAAATACCATGTCAACCAGGGTTTTGGTAAAATTTTTGGTTTCCATGGGAAATACAATAGGGGCACTCACGCGCACTATACCATACCACTACAGTTTAGTCTTGGTGATTTGGTTTGGACAAATGCCAGCATGTGAGACCATTGTTCTCTGTCACATGATCGTTGGATTCAAAAACTATAGAACAATCTGTTGACTAGCTTTTAAATGCTTTTGATACCTCCCTCTACAAGGATTGATATGGTTGGATTTTCAAAGTGATATGATTGGATTATTATATTATCTATAGCTTTAGGTTTGCTATTCAAGATCCCATAACACAGCTTCCTAGCCCAATACCATCTTACTCATGTGCGTTATTAATGGTCTTGGAGAGCAGGTGCTAAGATTTGAATTGATACTTGTCGGATAGATGATCCAAAAAAAAGCAGGAACTTTTTGCTTTTGTACGTCTAGTGAGGTAGTTGGCCAAAAGAAACTTGTGATATGTATATATATGTATGCATAAATGCAGTTGAGACTCTTTTGTCAATCGTATCCACTGTTATCTGCTATGCTTCAATCAAGGCCTTAAATAAAATGGCTTCACAACCAAACTCGCAAGAGAATTCTCCTCAGCAGTGGCCAGACATAGACTTTCGACACCTGACCAAACCCTGTCATTGTCAAATCGCATGCTATCATGTATCAAAGTGTTTGTTATTTCGCATTGTTGTGAAGGATTTCATGACCAGAATGGCATGTTTTCCAAGCAATCTCCTCTGAAATTTAGATTTTGAGCAACTTCTTTTTATTTCTTGAACATGAAGTTTAAATTCTTCCTCCTTATCGAGAAATGTGAAAAGGGAAAGTCGTTTAGTTTCTTGCTGATACAGTTTTGACTTCTAACCATTCTTTTCTGGGCAAAACAAGCGTACCGTGTTTTTGACGTTGCACCCACAGACAGGGAATGTACTATTTTATTATTGTTCTATTTGCTTTTTGAAATTTAGGCACTTTCTTACTAGAGAATAATGCTTCATGCTCTTCCAAAAAGGCTAATGCTTCCTTCCCTGTAGCATTCATTTTAGTGGCAAGGTTTCAGTATCTTGACCCGTCTTTTTCTTGCAAATCGAGACGCAGTTAACGCAAATCACGGTTCGTAAGCACCGATAAAATTATTTCGAGTGGTTTTCATATTTGTATTTTAATCAAGAAGATGGCATTAGAGAAAGAAAGTGCTTTTCATGCTTGTAAAGATATCAGTTACGCTAAATAAATCAAGATCGTGCTCTCTGGAATTTCTTTTATTTCCACTGGATATGTATGCTTCTAACAAAATCCAAGCCTTTTGGCCTTAGTAAAGCTGCATAAAATTTCCATTTTTCTGGTTTCTGGTGCATCAGATTTCATAGTGTTACTGGTTTATAACTACACTAATTTCCATGAAACACTTGAGCTTCACTTTGGATATTTTTCGGCACATGCCCGTTTTTCCACTGAGATATCAGGTTAAAGGCTTCCATGTCTGGTGTTATATTCCTAACTTAAGCAATTCGGGGAGGCTCGATCGCCAGAAGTAAAGACAACGGAATAAAGATTGAGAAAACACTGATTGTTTTCAAAACTTCAAGTGTGGTTTCTTCTAGGTATTGTTATCTTTTTCCCAAAGAGTTGTTTTGAGCTTGCTTATACTTGATTTTGCAGAAAATGTTCCTTGAAGATTTCAAGAATCAAATCTGAATTGCTGAGCAAGATTGTTAATCTGTTGTGTATGAAACATTAGAGACAGTATCTCCACGTTGAAAAGACACATTCACACAAAGATGCTGGCTCTTCTGTATAATATCCAATTACACACTCTAGAGTACATGCACTAACCAAAACTTTACAATCATCTTTGAACAAGTATATCTATTAACTAAGCACCATTTTCTGTCAATAACATGAAGTAATACAACTGCACAAGATACAAAGGTTGTTCCACCACTATTACCAACAGGCCCCTCAAAATTCTTAGCACACTTACAAAGTTCAAGACTCAAAAAAGACACATAATAACTACCCAAATCAATACTTTTGCAGCTTCGAGTGCTACTCTTCAATGCCCCATTTTGGAAAGGGTGCCCTGCTGTTCAAAAGATGCAGGGCCCTAGCAGTTTGGAGCAATTATTGTGGACACTGTTTTTTGTTTGAAAATGTTTCAAGGAGTACTATTATGTGGTGCTATTAATTATGGCTCAAAAGAAGGATCGTTTGGCAGGAGCTCTGCCAACAGCTCTCATCAAATTGGCTACTTCAAGAACTCTAGCAACCTTGGTTCCTCTCTTAGCTTCAGCTGATGCCCTTCTCTCCTCTGCCTTTCTGTGTGCCTTTGCTACCTCATTTTGCATCTTCTCTAAGGCTCTTGCTCTTTTCTCCTCTAACTTCCTCTACACAGATTGAAGATTTGTTGTTAAATAATGAATGGCGTGTTAATTGTTTTACATCAGCTACTTTAAGCGGAAAAAAAAAGATCATCCCCGTAATCAAATCAACTGAGAGTTGACTGAAAATCAACCAAAATAATGAATGAATGAACATAGTGATTTATGAGCTAATATAGAATTCCTCAGCACATGAGAATACATGTAAAAGTCACGCATGCTTATCTCTTTTACTTGGCGCTTGAAGCTTCAAAAACACAAAAGGTTAGTTATTGTGCTTTTCTGGGGGCAATAATTGCAAAATGTAGAAAGTCTTAATCCAGAAAAAAAAACCCTTTAGACCACAAACTAGATAGTGTCAGCAATTATTTAGACCACAATAATTGCTGGAATATATATAAATCAAGAAATCCACCCGCTCATTTGACCATCAACCAGTGGTGAACATACATTGTAACTTGGTAAATACAGGCATTGATGAAGTAAAAGGCTATAAGAGGCACTTTGACCACATCATCAAGCCTTTGCATAGCTAATTATGTCTGAATTACGTCTTTGGTCTCTTAAATTAATGATCAATTAGTCTTAAGTATCACCATAATCATAAGCATCACAACAAGACTAATTGCCTGCCTTTCTGCATGAAAATGTAAAATGTTTACAAGAAGCAAATTAACTACCAAACCACCATGCAAATAATCAAAAATTAATCAATATTAATTTCTCCTATACGTACCTCAACCTTCTTCATCCAAGAAGTAGACTTTTGCACCTGCTCACTCTCCCACCCATTAATTATAGCATCTTCTCTCTTGAGCCTATTATTGATCTTTGCAATCTTTGCATTTTGCCATGCAGTTATCTTAGTCTCTACTTCCTCTTTTTTCACTCTTATCACCGACACTTCACCACCATGGCTACCACTACCCACACGACCGGATCCGAGCCTTCTCGAGCTAGGTTCGGGGTCTGAAGGGTTGTTGTCGGGCACAATAGCCAACGGGTTAGTTTCTTCAGGCACGTCATGATCATCCTCTCCAATTCTAGACAACAAGGCGCTGCTTACAATATCACTGTGATCAAAGATGCTATTGTTGGTGGTGTTACTAGTTCCTATAGCAGACCCTGCAATCACAAGAGCATTAAACTCTCTACTCATGGTAGTGAAGTTTTCACTTGAAGCACCTTCACCACTCATGGACATAGAGTATGATCCATGATGACTGCTGCCTGTTTCCCAACGGTTTCGAGGCGGTGGATGAGGTGGGGTTAGAGCATGGATGTCACGGATTTGTTCATTTTCATTATCGGGGCCATGGTCTTGATTGGTTTGATCTCCACTGGTTGTGGTGCTGGAGGAGGAGGGTCTTTGAGCACTCAACATTGAAGGGTTTTTTTAAGTTTGTTTGTGTAAAAGTGGATTAGGTGAAACTAGGCGTACTTAAGGATCGGAACATGGTAGTATTACGTTTGGAGCTGATTTCAAAGGTGTTAAACAACATAAACCGCACATAATTGAAAGAAAATTCTCAATAGTGCTTGAAAGTTGAGACAGGTATAATCATTTTTCGTCTGATTTGTTTTTTATTTAAAAAATTAATTAAATTATTTTTTTTTAAAAAAAAAAAACCAAATTAAAATCAATTATTTTCAGTTTAGTTGGATTATTTTAAAATAAAAATTAATTTAAATAAGTTTGACTTGATACTTTTCGGATTGACTCGAAATTTTTATTATTTGACTTGATATTTTTAGTTTAACTAGATTGTTTTAATTTCAAATTTATAAAACCGAAACAGAACCAATTATTTTTTAAAAAAATTAATTAATTTTTTTTATGATTTAATTTTTTTAATCTAATTAATTTTTCAATTTTTTTATGATTCAATTTTTTAATTTTCTTAATTTAATCAAAATTTCAGTTTTTTTTAATTATTCCTAATTAAAATATTATCCTCTTCTTGGCATAAAAGTACGTGAGGGAATGGAGAAAGGAGGTGGTGATTCTTTTTATTTTTTTAATGACTTTTGAAAGTGCAAACACTCTTTACCCTTCAAGTTTTCTTAATTAGCTTTTCCACCATAGTTTATGTTTACGTTGTATTATTAGGGGCCTCACTATATGATAAGAGTGACAAGTAACACCATACATTGGATCCGTATACCAAAGGATGAATTATTAGGTCATTTATCAAAATGTGGTAGAATTTAAGATTGGAGGTATATCAGCTTTTGTTTTAAAAAACTAACTCATTTATAATATTTGATTTAATTTAACTCATTAAAGTCAAATAAAATAAATAATATATATGATAATAAGTCAAAAATTTTAAAAATAGATATCATAAGTCAAGTGATGAATTAAATTTTTTTAAAATTTGATCAACTCAACTTAATTTGTATATCGTATATATAGATATGAATATTCTTATTTTTTTTCTCTTTCTTTTTATTTTTTTATCTCTTACATTCTCTCATCTCCCTCTCAACTCATGTACCCTAAATCTAAATAGTAACCTTTTCTAGCTATTGTTTTAACAAAATAAAATTATCAATCCCTTCCTCTTATTTTTATAACCAAAAGCTCCAACTTGATTTCAACAAATCTTCACCATACACGTAACTTGATTTCAACAAATCTTCACCATACACTTGACAATAAAACCTTCTAATAAAATTAAAACCCTAACTATAAACTTTTTCTTATGTCAAATCTCTCATTTTCCCTTTTAATTTTTTTTTATTTTAACACCACACTTGAATCCTTAGTTATTCTCTTTTTAATTTATATGTTGCTATATTTTTTTTAACTTTATTTGATGTTCAACTAATTTTTAAGCTATGTTTTTTATGGTTTTGTTTTATTTTCTTCTTTCATCACTTCTTGTTATCAAATTATTATTATTATTATTATTATTATTATTATTATATTGTGTTAGGTTAAGGTTGCATACAAAAATAAAATACATGAATCAGATCATGTCTTTTTTTCTCTTTATGGAAAGCCTAGTGTCAAGTCAAAGTTTAAAAATAATGTAAGCAAGTCTTTAGGTTATGCACATCATGCCATGTAATCTTTGTTCTTAATTCTCTTCATGTTTATGACTATTTTTTTTTTTGTTTACCATAAATTTTATAAGCTTACACTTGGTTGTATGTTAGTAATTCTTGTATCCTTTTGTATACGTATTATACTGAAATTAATGAACTTTTGTTGCTTTAGATGGAGCATACAAAACCTTTTATTCCAGAAATAAATGTTGCTCCATTAAGTGCTTTTTTGGAAAATAATGTGGTTGGTTTAGTAAAGACCAAACTTGTTTAAGCTACTCCTACAAATTCTATATGCAACAAAGGTAACAAGAAAAGGAATGTGACCTTTAAAACTATATCTAAAGTTTAGAATTATTTTAATATAATAAAGGGTTTTGATCCATCATTGAAAAAATTTGCATGTAATTATTATCAATAAGATTATACATGTACTTCAAAAACTTATAAAAATAGTAATTTGTGGACACATTTATATAACTTATATAAATAGTTTCATATTAAGTTTGAGTTTGATGACATAATAAAAGACATTAGATTAAATCTTTGAGAGAGTTAAAGATGTAAATGAGTATTTCTTAAGGTTATTAGTTTGAAGTTTGTAAAAATCACTTTGTAGGATGATTATTTGTGGTGAGTTTTCTTTTAGGATCGTAAAAGGTTTAGGATTTAAACAGTTTTATTAAGTCATGCAACCTATATTTTTATCTCCTTGCAAATCATTATCGTAGTAGATTTCTTAAATCTTTATGCTGGAAAAAAAAAAGTTAGAGAAAACCATTAAAAACAAGTATGTGTGTATGAGTGTCTTTCAAGTGACACTTGGAATTTTGTCCAAAATATCAATCAAATGTGTGTCATAACTCATTAGGTGGATAATGATTAAACTTGTATAAAAAGATTTTAAACTTTTGTCAAGTTCTTAATCATAAGAATGAAACCATTAGGAAAGCACTAGAGAATTGCTTGATTGATTAGGTATTGATAGGATTTTAACAATCACATCAGATAATGCAAGTTCTAATAATAGTGTAATTGCTTATTTGAAATGAATGACTAAGGATTAGAGTTCAGAGTTCTAGATAATAAATTTATCTATGTTAAGCATTGTGCTAACATTCTCAATTATATTGTGAGTGATAGGTTAAATGAAGTGGATGAGGTAATTATTAAAATTAAAAATATTGTTAGATTTGTAAGATCTTTTCCTTATAGGGTTATATATTTTAAGAAATGTATGGATAAATTAAAGGTTAAAAATAAGATTATAGCATTTGTTTAAATGTCCCAACTAATTGGAATTTCATTTATTTCATGTTAGATATAACTATAATATTGAAGAAAATGTTTGATAGATTAGATGAGAATGATCCTAGGTATTTGAAGTTCTTTTCAAAGGTAGATCTAAAGAGGAAGAAGAAACACATATAGCCTCCTAATATTTAGCTTGACAAAATATAAGAATTCTTATAAAGTTCTTGAAATTATTCTCTGTATGATCTTGGAGTTTTCAAGATCTTTGCATTTCATATGAAATTTTTTTCTTTTATGAACTAGTTTTAATAAAAACATAAATTTCTAAGTTTTTCAAAAGTGAAGATTTATTAACAGATAGAATGACAATTAATATGATATACAAGTTTGATAAATATTAGGGAAAGTTTTAAGATATAAATTTTATTTTGTTGATAGTAGTTGTTTTAGGTCTTCATTAAAAGTTAAAATATGTGAAGTTTTGTTTAAATTTAGTGTATAAATCTCCTATCATAGTGAAAAAACTAGTGAAAAATGTGAAAGATACACTTATGATGGTTTTTTACTACTTTTACAGTCAAGATATTAAATTTACTCGTGAATAATAAAGAGTAACAATTTATTATTGACAATCTAAGATGGTGAGTAGTTGTTAAATAATGAGCTTTAAAACTTTTTAGTTGTTTAAATGAGTTGCTGAAGGTGCTGTACTATTACATGTTATTGTTGTATTTTATTTTTATTTCTTGTTACTTTTTATTGTTCTCATAAAAATTATGGATTTCTAATTATTCAATTCAAGTTCTTGCTTAGAGCTTATTATATTTTTTTTGTAAGTTTTTGGTTATTTAAAATTTAATGTGTTGTTATATACATATATTTGCAATTAATTCTTCAATTTTAATTAATTTATGTGTTATGCCTAGTTAATTATTGTAGCTTATAATAGTTTTTGAGGTAATTTATAGAGCTTAATTAATTATTGTAGCTTATAATAGTTTTTGAGGTAATTTATAGAGCTTAAATCTTAGTTTTGATTAAGCCCAACCCATGAGAATTATCAATACATGCCTAACTCAGGGATATTTATGATATTCATAAATGTTTTTTAATAAAACCCAATAAATTCAACCCATTTAGGTCCAAAAAGAATTAAATGATTTAAGTTGAAAATTTATAAAATATAAGAAGTTAGGTTGAATATAATTATAAGCTCAACCTCAACCTAACTATATTCATGAACATCTCTGTTTTGTAATAAGTGATATATTGATAATAGAAGACAAATCTCTAATACTTGGTTGTTTTTCTTTATAAAATTATAAAAGCTTGATACAACTTACACTAGATAAATTAAATCAATATCCATATTATATGCAATAAAATTAAAGTTAATATTTAGATGATCTATTAAACTAATATTGAAAAAGGTGATGTATCAAATATATGATATACTGTATACGAGTAGAAAAAAACTAGAATTTAAATATATTCATTATTATCATTTATATCAAATTCATATGTATTAAAATTATTTAATTAGTTGGTATAACAAGTTGTATATAATTATATAATAATACAATAGGTTTTTTATAATTGGATTTATTTGTTTCCACAAAAGTTTATATAAATAATTACAAATCTCTTTTTAATATGAAACTGTTAATTAATTTAGCAAGTTTTCAATAAATTTATTGTTTAAATGCAATGTAATACAAGATTTTGATAAAAATATATATAGTTGAATGAGTCATTGAATTATGCATCTAAACCATAATTGTATATAATTTATATAAGGGATAACACATCAAAAACAATAATAACAATTAGTCCATTTTCCTCACTAGTCCACCTTCTCCACACTCCACAGCTCCACTTTCTCCACTTTTCCATCTTTTATATATAATGCATGTTGTTATGTAGAGCATTTTTCTACTTTCATCGCGTAACTTATAAATAGATTGCACAAATAACTTAAGCATGAGTTGAGATAACTAAAAAAGAATCGGGAGAAGATCCTTACATGTGTTCTTTTTATTCACTCTTGCCTTTATTCTTTCTAGCATCTAGTGATATTTTTACAAACAACTTATAATATATACATTATCTAAATAAATTTTAAAATATTTATATATTACATTTATTTTTGTATTTATATTAATTTAAATATCAGAGAATTACTATATACACAAAAAATTTATCTTATATGTATAAGAGCATGGATCAAGTTAAAGAACTAAAATATATTTTCAAGCTTACTTATCAGCTATGAAAAATCCAAATATAACTATTAAGTTTTTTAATAGCCTCATCAAAAGTGATTGTAATTAGCAAATGCATGCAACCATAATTGTTTGAAGTACAAATATTTTTCCAATACATACTCATTCCATAATAATATTTTATACTCATTACATAATAATACTTTCGACTAATACCATTAACATTTTTTCAAGTAATAGCGATGCAAAAATTACTGCATAAAATGGTAAGTTAAGTTCATAAATAGGATACTTTGTAGGGTTAAAACATGGACAAAAATTATTTTTGGCTAAAAGTGAAAATAAGTAAAACAAAGAGGGCGTCATGTGCAAAAGTTCTCTTTAATTAACTTTTCTATTTTAGTAATTTAATGTCGGCCAAAGAATTTCGGAGTTAACCCCACCATTGTTAGGTAGCGGTCCCACAAACACACGCGTCGCAGGGTATCAATCACACGTTCTGTAGACATGCAACACGTGGCGCATTCACCATTCAAGCTACGTTTGTCCCTTCCGCGGGCTGGAATAATAGCAGCAGATTGCTGCCACGTGTATGGTGTCCCTTTTGTGATTCACAGGTTTTCAAGATACTCACGTCTCACATGATAAATTAATGTTATCTTAATGGGTCAATTAATCAAATTATTGAACTCTTACTATTCTTACGTCTTCAAGTATTTGGTCACATCTAAGAAAAGATCGACAATGATTATGACCTAAGAACCGAAATTAAATTAAAAAAGAGTAAAAAAGAAATGTTTTGGTTAATATATTGATTAAGATATGAATGTTTTAGGTTTTAAAAAGAGATTTTTATAAATAAAAATATCATAACTATCAAAACAGAAAAATAATATAAAAAAGAACAGTTTTATTTGCAATGTTATAATAGTATTATTATTATTATTATTTTAATTAATATAAATGTATAAGTTAATTTTTTTATATCTTAATTAATTTTATGAGCTTTAAAATTAATAATTACGTAAAGTTTTAGTAGCCCTGATTGATATTATTAAATATGACTGTCATGAGTTGAGTTAATTATTTTAAATTAATTAATTAAAATTAAATTATTTTTATTGGAAAAATAAAAATTAAATTATTTTTTAATTGGGTATATACACAAAAAAAAGACAAATAAGTGAGAAATCCAACTAAAAAATATTTTTATTATTTTTAATAAATTATATACAAAAATTCTAATTATTTTTTAAGATGAAAACAGATAATGACTAGTTTTGTACCAATCTAAGCTATCGTCTAAATTGGATTCGTCTTCTCAGGGAATCAAGCCCATGAACATTTGAAAAAACAAAGACCTAAACATCACACCAATACAATTTTTCAAACATTTTGTATCATAGAAAATAATTAATCATTAACATCAAATTGAATTGTGCAATATTATCTTGGCTCAGTTTCCTTTTCTTGTGCGATCAAGTCACATTTTATCCTCGTACAAATGAAAAACAACTGCTTAACAATGTCATTCCTATCATGATCGATTTTTAAAAAAATCATTATAAGAACAACAGTTTCTACAAAAAAATCTGTTGAAATGTTAATTATTTAAAAATTAAAAAATCTCCTATATATATAATTTACATTTTAATGGCTTTTACTAGACAGCACATTTTCAAATATTTTTTCCATTACAATAAAAAAATACTTAATTTTCTAACATAATTAAAAAGTATTTTCTTGGTGGGTAGTGTGTGATTTATGAAGAAAAATACTTTCCTACATAATTATAAGAATCAAAAGAGAAGAAAACTTAGTCAAAGAACTCATCAGAAGGCCGAAACATGTGTTTTTAATCTGTTCTATAAGCTGGCTTTGGGGATATTATTGCTCTTTACAGTGCATGAATAAAATAAATCGTCTTGTCTGAATCATCATCCTGTTGGTCGTTGGTCTTTGATTAATTTCTGGTGAAAAAAGAAGAATGTCGGTGCCCATTTTTCTAAAGATGGGGCAATTCAGTGTTTCCGAATGACTAAACAAAAAAGAAGAAGATTTTGGCATCATGCAAAGGATGAAACACTGACAGCGTGTTATTATTTTATAAAAAATATTTTTAGTTAGAAATAATTTAAAAAAATAAATATTTATTTAAAATTATAGTTAAAATTAAGATGAAAGAAAAAATAATTTAATATATTTGGTTAAGAATATTTTTGAAATTAAGGTTATAAAATAATTTTTAAAAATATATATTAATATTGATAGTTTTTAATTTAAATATTATAAATTTAACTATTATTATTATAACATAAAATAAATAATATTTTTTATTATTTTATTAATTTTTTTAAGAGTGCAACAATATAGGTAAAATACAATCAGAAATAAAATTGAAATTATGATTAAATTCTATGAATATTAAGTCATTAAGCAATCTCTGTCTAATTTATATAGTGTCATTAAATAATATTTAATACTAGTTTTTTTTAATAAAAAATAATTACAAATAAAAAATATTTTTTATTTTATTAGATTAGATTCGGTTCAATGTATTTTTAGCATTAAACCAGACCGGTTCAGCCAAAAAAGTGAAGCATGCTTCACTATTTATAAAAAAAACCCATGAATAGTTCATAAGTTTTCAAGCTAAAGAAACGACAAATTGTTGCTTCCTGCAAACCTATATCCATGCCTTAATAGTAGGCCCCACCAATATAAATTTGTTATTGAAGTATTACTAAACGGTAAACGGTTGAGTTGTTGTGGCTGCTTTAAATACAAAAAAAACCATGCAACCAAAAACGCTATGAAAAGATTGTGGCTGCGGTTTATAGGCTAAGTATTATTGCAAATTATGACGAAATGCATAAATTCACTTGTTTATGTGTGTGTTCTTTTTACACACTACAGGATATTAACATAATATTAAAATTATATGATTTTTTTAAAAAGATTTCTAAAGAAATTTAAAAATTCAAAAATAATTTTTTTATTTCATAAAATACAAAATATATTTTTTTAAGAATTTTATTTAATACAGGACTAAAGGCTTACATAGTAAAATACGAATTTGATATTAAAATACTTGATTTTTTTCTAAAAATTTGGAAAATCCAAAAAAAAAATCCCTTATTTCTAAAACACAAAAAATATTTTATTTTTACTCCGTCATATCCTAAAGATTTTCATGTATATTATTTTTTAAAACATACAAAATTATATTTTTATCATGTTTTAAAAATAGAAATTGAATATCATAATCAATTTATGATTATCCATTAGAGTTTAACTAAAATACCAAAATTTTCACAACAATTAATTTGTTATTCAGAGTATTAGAATTTAGATATAGATTTTAATATTTGGAGGTATAAAATTACATTGTAAAGCATACCCTTAGATATTAAAAATATAAAAATTAGAATTAAATACGATACTAAAATCTGAATCCTAGAACAATTAGGATTTAACCTGATAACATAAAGATATTCTCACAAAAAAAGATCTACTTTCAAATTTTAAATTTAAATAAGACTATCAAATAAAAACATATCTTAGATTAATAATTAATCAACAATATAACTTACCATAAGTAAGATGCATTGAAAATTATATGTTTTTTCTTTATATTATTAATTTCTTTACATAAATTCTTGTAAATTATTAGTAATTATAATATCATAATATCAGATAAATGACATCTCTTATAACCTATAATTATAATTTTATAATTAAACCTAAATAGTTTTGTGTCCATGAGGTAACTTTGTCATTAGACACTGTACACGTCACCACAAATATTACAAGTCACAAAATTCTCTCAGCGTCAACGATTTCACACTTTACAGGTAGCAGAATTTGAAACCCATTGGACCGTGTATGATTCCTCAGCACTCGGCAGGTAGGGCCCTTTTTTCTCAATCTTATCACAAATGTCTAGCCCATGTTATACTCTTTCGGCCCATCTGGGATGGTGAATGGGCTTTTCAAATCAATTGTATTTTATCTTCTACGTGTGAGATGGTTTTGCTACCTTTCTGGTCAAGAACAAAATCCAACAGAAGAATCTGCTCTCATGAAGAATTATTATATTATATTATAAAAAACCCTAAAAATTCAGTGATTTAATGTAGCAATGTGGATTCCCATCATGTATTCACTCTTTTTGCCCTTCTTTACATAAACTAATTGTCGAGATAAAATTTTCAATTTTCAGGAGATCCACGAGTCATTTGCCAATTGACAGGATTTGTTTTTTCACATTAAAAATTACTTTGTTGTTTTAAAATAAAAAATAGACTTTTTGAATTTTTATGTCTTTCTTATTTTATTTGTATAATAAAATATTCAATTTTTTTCATTAATATTAAAATAATATTTTTTTAAATCTTTATTTTTAATATCAAAATTATATTAAAATATTAAAAAAATTATTTGAAGTAAAAAATAGAATAAAATTTATTTTTACAAAAATAATTTTAAAATAAAAAACAAACATTATCTAAATATAAAATTTATATTAAAAAATAGAAACGATAAAACTTAGAAACCAATTTTGCAATTAATATCAATTTAACTATAAGAAAAAAAATCAGTGATAGACAATTTTTAGTTTAATGTTTGCTTCTTTTTTTTAAGGTTTATAAATTTTTATTTTTAATTATCTTTAAATCTCATTCTAAGAAAAACATAAAAAATATCTGGATTCAATTGTCCATTCAATTTAAAGAAATTTTGCCCTTGCAAAAAATAACAACATGAACGTGCACTCATTCCAAAATCTCTATTCTGCTGTACCATCACGTGAGAGTCACATGATTCATTCAACATGTGGCAGAACCTGATTGCACATTGACACAGCAATCTCCATGTCCCCGTAGTTCTAAACTTTCCACGCCCTTCAACAAGTCAAATCCCAGATTTCTTCAAGCAGCCAGAAAGGAATCAAAGGCAAAAGAAAAATAAAATCCGCAGTCTTTCTTTACCATCAACTCTCCATAAAACCCACAATCAAAACGACCGAGCCGGTGTCTTGGTAACGTAAGGTCACGAGGTACATCTCTTCCTGTTCCCGTCTTTGATTTCATTTCATCAAAATATGTTTTTTTTTTTGTTCTAAATTTTTATGGGCCTGCAGTAGTTCTCTTTTTGTGATGATTTTGAGAATTGTAGAAAGAAAATATGTCATGGAAATTACTAAAAGTGATTAACCCATCTTTGTTTTGATTGATTCTGCTCATGGTTGAGGTTTTTTCTGTGTGTGACCCAAGAAGATTGAATCTTTTGGTTTTTTTTTTCTTGATATATTTATATATTGTTGTCTAGTTCTTGACCAGTATCTGAAGCAATTTGGTTTCTTTTGCAGCTAATTAGGATTTTTTTAAAAGTTAAAATATGGCATCAAGGCGCAATGTTCGTTACAGTGCTCTTCCTGATGATGACAATGATGATAAATTTGGTGTACAATATGACCCTCGATTTGATTATACACCTGGATCTTTTGATAAAGTCCCATGGAAGTCCATTTTCCTTGCAATTTTTCTGCTCTTCCTTGGATGTGTACTTCTCTCTCTATCATACTTTATCTTCACTGGGCACATGGGAGGAGAGAAGTCCCAAGCTTATGGTCTCTTAGCTCTGGGAATCATTACCTTCATGCCGGGTATGTTGAAACTCAATGAGCGATTGATTGCATAATATTTACAACGACCATGATGAAGACTATAATTAGTTAATCATTTGTTTATATCTTTGGAAATTTTCACATGTTCCGTTCTCTATGTTGCAAGTTAAATGTTTCTGTAGAACTAAGGAACGAATGGTGAACCAAAGGTTCTTGGCTTTTCTCGAGGTTTATCAGGTTAATGAATAAAAAGGAAGTGCAAACAGATTTAGAACTACCTTAAATAACAAAGTGATATAATAGAAGTTGATAGTTTTTTCAATAAAATGGTTCACTCACATGCAAGGCTAGTTTAGACTGTTATTTGTTAAAAATGTGTTAGAGGAAATTTTGATGATTCATATTTGCTATATAGGGCATTGCTCAACATGCCTGACTGTCATTCAATGTTGTAATTAACGTAGTTAATGCCACGAGTCCAAAAGGATGCGCACTGAAGTGATGCTGTCTTAGTTTGATCAAACTTCCTATTGCTTGTCATTAAGCATAATGAATTTCCTCTCTTTCATTTTGTGCGAAATGATTTTCATGTAGTGCTCATTATTAGTTTGTATATGTTAGATCAACCTTGTATTGTCTGTGACATCTCTCTCATTTTTGTGGTCCACAACCTTCAGCTCACTGGGATGTAGAAGTTAGTTGTCTAAAAAATTATGAAAGATATTCCATCATCTTTTATAGAAGCCTGTAAAAGCTTCTGGAACATGAGGGTGCAATCTCTTTATTGCTTATGTGATGCTGATTTACAAAAACGGCACAGCATTGCTGCAATTTAGGCTTGCAATTGAAGAAATAAAATAAGTTAAAAGATGCGGTAACTGGCCCCAAAATTTTCAGATCGCTCTCTTTGTGCCATGATGTTCTAGATCACATGTGAATAGTTGTGTTGGGGGGGGGTGTTGGTCTATAAATTAGATTTTTAGCCTTAAAAATAGAAAATTTTAGATTTTGGCCCCCCATGAAATCTTTTCTCTGATTTGGCCCTCCCAGGCTAAAATTCCTAGCTTTGCCCCTGCGGCTACAGTGGAATCCTACAAACCATTAATTACTTGCAATTTCTCCATGAAGCTACTTTTACATGATGATGTTTGTATATTGCTTTTGAATTCCTTATTTGAAATATGGACAGGATTTGATGGCCGATCACTTACCTGCCTTTATTGTAATCAGTAATTAGGATATGGAAACTTGGTGTCACCTTCGTTTGGTGAATTTGTAGAGAGTCTATTGTTATGAGTTCTGCTGATTCATTTTCTACAGACACTGACCAAGTTTCCTTTAGCTTTTATTTGAATATATATGTAAATTGCTCTAATAGAGCAATGGTATTCTAGACTTCTTGAAATGACAATACTTTGATTGCCTTTTTTGGTGGAAGAAGGATGGCATGGTTGGGGTTGGTGCTCGATAACAACTAAATGAAGCACCTTTTCCATTTGGCTTCCTGCCTTTCATACTGCATAGAAAATTGGTTACTATCATGATGCGATAGGTGCTCCTGTTATGGAGTGAAACTACATCCATCCTTTTCGATTGCTGAACTTCTGTAAAATTAATACTAAATGCATTGAGTATGTCTTAGAACCATCTGACTATAGTTCATAAGTTCATTAAATGGAAGGTTTAAAATTCCACAATGAAGAAAGAATGAAAAACCCAATCTATATTGCTTTGTTATTGGTTGTTATGGAAGTTAACGCCTTGCATTTATTGCTGCTAAATCACACCATATTTGTAGAAGAAAGCCTATCCTGGCCATGAAAAAACAGGTTGCTTGTCTTAACCGAGACAACCGGGATTTAGAGTAGGAAACTAGAACAGATTTAGTCGTTCATCCAAATTCAGAAATCGTGATGGCTTTGCTAGCATTATGACAATTAGGTTTATAGAAAGATTGGCCACCTAAATTGCAGAATGAGCATCTAGGATTTGCTCAGTAGATGTGGAGGATATTGTGAAATGGGGACTGACACAAGGTAGTTTAATAATATGGCGTTTTCAGCTCCTTTTCTTTTGAAACATAGTAATCTAATGACACCTGGAGTTTTTATTGAGCTAACATGGAATTTATAAGCATGGTGTTTTTGAGGTTGTTTGTATCCATTATGGACTCGCTTTGGCATTGCCTTTTTGTGGAGCCCCCATCTGTGTTCCCACGTTGCATTTATTTTTCAGCTCATAACCCAAACTACATGAAATCATATTTCCAATTCAACCAATATGTTTCCATAAGATTTTTCCATGACATGCTTTTATATTTTTCATTACCTGTTCAACTGACCACTGCTAAATTGACCTTTGTTGTGGTTGCAGGCTTTTATGAAACTCGGATAGCATATTATTCATGGAGGGGTGCTAAGGGATATCAGTTTGCTTCTATCCCTAGATATTAGATGTGTGCCTCAGTTAAGTTTGCCTTAGCAGCAAAAACTAGGTTATGTTGTGGACGAAGTGATTTACAATCTGGTGTACAGAATCACATGCGTCTGTGTTTCTTTTTATGTTATCCTAAGCTTCTGTATTTCCAAGCATCAAGATGTTGGTACTCATTTTTGTAAATTTTCCTTCCACGAGACTGATTGTTTTGTGATTTCATTTTGTAGTCAACGGAAAAAAGATTGATTCTTGCTCACATCATGGGTTGATAAAGGATTATATTTGATTATATTGCTCGACCAATATTACTTCTGTTGTGTGGAAAGGATTATCAAACAGTTAATAATTTAATTTTTCTACCAAAAGGGTGTGGTGAACATATTATTTCCCATGAATGCTGTGCGCTGTTTAGGCATGAAAATTTGCTTTGGTAATTTCGCGAGTTTGAGCTACGAATGACAGGATATCGAAGCATTTGAATGGCCATTAAAGTTACGGTAGACCACTCATTTCAAGCTTAAAACGCTGTACGTGGTTCCCACCTTGTTCAGCTTGGAATCCTACGTTGTGTTCAAACCATTGTTAAAACGCAAACCCTTGTTCGTGCAGGAGCATATATAGGAAAGGAGGTCCTTTAGAGGCTTGACAAGCCTAATGCAACTCGACTCGAGTAGCTGCTCGTGTTCTAAGGGAGGGCACTGGCTTCTCAAATTAGATTTTTGCCATGGGCAGAGCAAATTACTCCCGAAAATGTTGTTTGGTCCTGAGCACATCATAGATAAGCAAATTGCTGGGTTTTCTTCGTCAATTTAAAGAGCCAGTATTTGAAAACCCTACGACGACGACATCAATAAGGTCACAGATTAATAAAGTTAACGAGGTAAGGTTAACGAAGATGTAATATCACACTCAATTAGTCCCGGTCCTAGGCTACAGTCACATTAAGTTATATTGTTTGCTGGTCAATTTTCACCTGTGATATCTTGGAAAAAAAATTACGAGTGTTGTTTTATTTGGCCTGTTTAACAGCTAGAAATCGAATTTTCTTGTGCCATAAGCTATATTGGATGAAATTAATAATAATAATAATAATAATAATAACAACAGGCAGCTTAAATTGAAGCCTCCTACGAAGTTGAAATTTAGACATGGATAGTAACTCCAGCTACACTACAGTAATATTGCACATTCCCCCGTTAAGTTTTATTTGTCCCTGTCGGTTTAGAAGTGCATTTCTAATTATATTTGGATGCATTTTAAAAATATTTGATTAAAAAACTATTAAATTTATTTCTTATGTTAAAAATTAAAAAAAAAAAATTAATATATTTTCAATCATAAAATATATTTTTAAAAAATACCATATCACAACATCTAACTGGCAGTCAAGATAGGAGTTATGATGTACTCGAATAATTTCAATGCATTAATTTGAATTAGTTAGATTGTTAGCATCATCAATATGAATGGATGGAATTCTTTAACACTGAAACCAAAAGATCACAAGGAATATTTTCATCGTTTTCAACTCTCGTGTACTGAGACTGAGTTAACTTCTCTAAGATATTTGCCTTTAGCCCAAACATCCATCCGATCCAAACCCATCAGCAGCCTTCCATGGAAGTTGAAAAGGAACGTTAATTAAGTGAACCGGCACCGGCACCTTGAAACCGTAGTGGCACAGCGACACTTCCTGGGCACATTCTCTTCGATTAGTTTTTACACGTTAAATGACCTAAATGCCATCTATTCCTATTGTTTCTGAATATTTCTAAAAAAAATTTTAAATTAACGTGGGTGTCCGGGTCAGCTTGCGCGTACCACGACTAATCCCACGAGCCCTGAAGTTAACGATCATGTAAGCTTCCAGTGGCCATCATATGAGCAATCAAGGACTCGAACCTGAGACCACAGAAGAACCAAACTCCTTGATCCCAAGTCCTTACCACTTGGTCACCACCTAGATAATCGTGAATATTTCTAAATTGTTCTTTATACCAGGGGGGTTTTGACAGTAAGGTAGCTTTTTAAAAATATATTTTTTTAAAAAAATATTATATCGATAATTTTTAATATTTTTAATAATTTTGGTATACTAATATTAAAAATAAAAAATATTTTAATATATTTTTTAAAAAATATTTTTTAAAATATATTATTGCATCACATTGTCATATATGCAAAGCAACTAAATAAACATATTATTTTCCCTCTGTCATCATTGATCTTTCTTGCCACTTTCTTTTCCAAAATAAATTATGCATTAATTTCCATAAGTGAAATGGATCTTGTTAGGTGTTATGCTACTTTTGTTCACTCTACATGTTATTTTTTTATCATCTTTTTTCTAATTCATTTGTATTTGTTGGTTCTGCGTAGCTCTAAAATGTGATAAATATGGGTTCTTCAAGCTTAAATTAATTAAGGAATCTGATGAGGCCCCAAACCATCCAAATTGTTCGGGCAAACAATAATATCTTAAATAATTGATTTTTTTTGTTTTAATAAATAAAATTTATTTATTTTAATCAAAATAGCTGAAAGTGGGTGTCTGATACTTATAAAATGTTTTATTTAATGAATTTAAAGTTTTTCAATAATGAAGCGGGACAATATATTTCACTAATTTTTTTTAAATGGTATTATTTTATTCTGCCAAATTTTTAAAAAATATCCAAATTTATCAACCCAGATGACGTCGATGAGCTCCCAAAGCCATGCCTTTTTTTCTCTCTGACAAGTGATAACAGCAATACATGCACATGAACAATTTTATTTATTTTATTATTTTCAATGAATAATTAGTGCTTCATAATTGAGGATTGATTACGGCCATATTCAGATAATTGCCAATTAAATTTCTCATTGCACCTCAGTATTCATATTTATTGACTTTTAGAGATTGATTAATTATTCTGATTGATAAGTGGGTTTGAGATTTAAATCCTGTAAGAAAAAAAAATACTCCTTCAATACCGAGCGCGAGTTACCTACTTAATACCTAATTAAAAAATGATCTAATTTATTATGAAAAAAAGACTTGAAAATATTCTTATTATTTATATAATTAAAAAAGAAAACCCATTACGAGTAGTGAGTTCCATCTGATCCATTTTCTAAACCTATTTGGAGTGCCAAATTTGCAAATACCACTATCATGCAATATAGGTGTTTATGGATATATATGGAGCCGGATTTTTATATATAATTTTGTCTAATTTTATTTTTAATATCTAACAAAATATAAATTTGATTTATTTATTTATTTATTACTTGAATGAGTTGACTATATCGGATTAAGATAAAAAAAATTGTACACAGATATTCACAGTTTGAACATATTAATTTTATTATTTTTTGATGATCCTAAAATAATATTAGGTTGCAAAAGAGTATCAATTATACATATAAAATACAAAAAAAAATAAGTAATTAAATACATAAAGTTTAAATAAAAGAATTAAAGAGAGATATTACGTGAACTAGAGGCAGTTTTTAATGTGAAAGTGAGAGAGAGTAAAAAAACTAAGATAAAGAAGTAAAAATATTATTTATATAAAAAATTAGAATTACTTATATTAAGTTATACAAGTTAGATTAATTCGAGCATGATTTAAAAATTTCAACTTAATTTGACTCATAATATATTTTTAATAAAATTTTTAATTCACTATTATTCGTGATATTTATGTTATCCAATTTTAAAAGTTCTCACAAGTTCACAGATAATATAAATATTATTGAGAAGTAGTTTTTTTCTAAACACCCCACCCAAGCAACATGTGGACCGAAAACAACTATTGATAAAAGACACGTGTACCCTCGAAAGTGTTGCCAACGTTTTCTGGGACTACCTACCATGTACTAACGTAAGGGAGTCAGTGTAATTAAGAGGAAAAAAAAATTTCATTTATAGCTCTTAGTGTTGAAGGTACAAAATCCATTTTGAGAATGGAGACCAAGAGAGTGTTTGGGGAACACAGTGCATCCTTCAAAATTTGAATTTTCTTTTTGTTTAAAATGAATTTTCTTTTTATATTTTCATATTGTTTTGATGTATAGATGTAAAAAATAAATTTTAAAAAATAATTAATTTTTATTTTGATGTATTTTTAAATAAAAATAATATTTATTTTGATGTATTTTTAAATAAAAATTATTTTTAAAATAAATTTTTAAAATAAATACTGTTGAAAAGTATTTTAAAATAATTTTTTTTTTATTTTTAAATTGTTTTAACATGTTAAAATTAAAAATAAATTTTAAAAACTAAAAATAAAAATACTTATTTTGATGTATTTTTAAATAAAAATTATTTTTAAAAATAACCACTATCATAAATATCAAACAAGCTCAGAATAAATTTGATAAACTTGACTATTTTAATAACATATATAAAAAAACACAATAACAGTAAACAAATTAAAAAAAATTAACAATGAAAAAAAGTAAGAAAACTCTACCTAAAATCAACTCAATTAGCACGCCAAATATACAACGTGGTTCTTAGTCGAAAGCAAAATAAAAAAATTTAAAGCTCAATTTTTGGTAACCAAAATATTGAAGGAAAAAATTTAAAAACATCCAAAAAAATAAGAAAAACTTGACCCGAGCTCACCCGGTTCAGCACATGATATCTATGACATAGTTGTGATACCGAAGTAACCCTGTTAAAAGAAAATTAAAATAAAACTATGAAAATTAATTATCAAATATCTCATTATTAAAAAGCATGATAACACATTATTTTTAAAATAAATGAAAATCCAATATAAAGTAAATAAAAAAACAATGGAGTCTAATCTCCAATAAATAAATGTTGAAGGATGAAATTGAAAAAACATGAGTTAAAAAAAAAAGATAATACGTAAACTCGAGTAAATCTTCTAAATTGGTTGATCTCTTGAATTCATAACTTGTGAAACCCTAGATTGTCTTAAGTTATTTCATTGTACTAAACAAATTTGAGAAGAACAATTTATCCAAATAAATTTGGAATTACATGAAAAAAACTTTATTACTTTTGATAACTAATTTATTGATTTTGTTTGAAAATGGTAAAATGGTTATTACATTGTTCCAAACCACACCATAATGAGTTTAGGACCATTGTGATTCGTGGATCCATTTTAGTTTCTTTTAATAGTATAATATATAAATTATTTTTTATATATTTAAAGATATTTATTTTTGATGTATTTATCATATATAAACTATTTTTAATGTATTCCATTTTAGTTTCTTTTAATAGTATAA